GTGATTCACCTGTTAGTCGAGGATGGTTCTCCATCTCTCGCTGAACCCTCGTGATCCGCCCGGTTCTCGGCCTCCAAAGTGCGTGTGATTTACAGGCTGAGTGCCCACCGCGCCTGGCCGCCTCATTAGGCTGGCATTTTTGATTTCATTTCCTTGCATTACTGTCCAGAAACATTTAAATTCTTTCTGTCTCCCTCTGTGTGTGTGTGTCTGGGTGTGTGTGTCTGTGTGTGATTGGTTATATACGTACTATTACTATATATATATATTTTTTTTTTTTTTTTTTTTGTTTTTAAAGACGGAATTTTCATCTCTTGTGTTCTTGCCCAGGCGCTGGAGTGCGCAATGGCACAATCTCAGCTCACTGCAATCTCCACCTCCTGGGTTCAAGTGATTGTCCTGCCTTAGCCTCCTAAGAAGCTAGGCTTACAGACCATTTAGATTTTTCTTTATATGAAGAGCCTAATATTCTGTTTTCTCTACTTTTTATTGTAGGGAATACATATAACATAAATACACATAGCATAAAATTTATAATCTTCACCATTTTTAGGTGTACAGTTTAGTGACATTAAGTACATTGATATTGCTGTACAATTATCACCACCATCCGTCTCCCATCAGGTCCACAGCTTTTCTTTCTTAAAACAAAAGTTTTATTATTGATTCAATCTTCTATTTATTTGTGGTTTAATCTTGGTGAATTTTCTGTTTCTAGGAACTTTTCCATTTCATCTAGGTTATTGAATTTGTTGGTGTACAATTGTTCATAGTACTCTTATCCTGTTTTATTTCTCTAGAATTTGTAGTAATGTTCCCACTTAGATTTCTCATTTTAGCAATTTGAGACTTCTTCCTTTGTTTCTTAGTCTTTCTATCTGAAGTCAATTCTGTTAATCTTTTTGAAAAACCAACTTTTAGTTCTGTTAATCTTCTCTTTTTCCGGTTTTTATTTATCTCTGCTTTAGTCTTTATTATTTCCTTCCTTCTACTAGCTTTAGGTTTAGTTTGTTCTTCTTTTTCTAATTCCTCACTTTGCAAAGTTAGGTTGTTGATTTGAGATTTATTTTTTTAATATAAACATTATAGTAATTTCTCCCTTAGCACTGCTTTCACTGTGTCCCTTATGTTTTGGTATTTTGTGTTTTTTTCATTTGTCTCTAAGTATTTTGCAACTTCTTTTGTAATTTCATCTTTATTCCATTGGTTAAGAAGATGTTAGTTTCCACAAATTTGTGAATTTTTCCATTTTTCTTTTGTTACTCATATCTAACTTCCTGTCTTTGTGGCTGGAGAAGATACTTTAACATCTTTTAAAGTCTACTGGTGGAAGATGAGTCAGATGAGACAAAACAAACAAACAAACAAAAAAACGGAAAGTCTTTTGAAATTTAGCTTATGGCCTAATATATGGTCTGTCCTGGGAAATGTTCCATATGCACTTGAGAAAAAACAGGTGTTCTGTTGTTGGGTATACTGTTCTGTATATGTCTGATTCAATTGGTTTATTCTGTGGTCCAAGTCCTCTATTTTCCTTATCTTCGGTGTGGTTTTTCTATTTATTATTGAGAGTGGGATATTGAAATCTCCAACCTTCACTGTAGAGCTGTATCTCCATTCAATATTATTAGTTTTGGCTCCATATATTTTGATAGTTTATTAGATGCATAAATGTTTATTACATCTACTTGCTGTTTTGAACATTAATATATAATGTCTTACCTCTTGCAACCTTTTTTGACTTAAAGTCTGTTTTGTCTGATATTATGTAGCCACTTCTATTCTCTTTAGGTTACTATTTGTGTGGAATATCCATTTTTATCCTTTCACTTTCAACTTATTTGTGTCTTTGGATCTAAAGCAAGTGTCTCGTGGACAGCATTTAGTTGGATCATGGTTTTTATCTACACCCATTTTGCTAGTCTGTCTTTTGATTGAATTATTTAGTCCATTACATTTAATTGCTGATAAGACTGCTGTCATTTTGCTATTTTCTATATGTCTTATAGCTATATGCCTTTGCAATATTCATATAACCTCATGGGAGAGGCCAGACATATATAAGCGATGAGGACAATTTCATTAACTTTGTGTTTTTTTCTTCAAAGACTGTCATGAAGTGGAATTTTTCATATAATGCTGGTTTTGGAGGCCAAGACCAGCATTTTAAAAAATTTTAAGTTCAGGGATACATGTGCAGGTTTGTTACCTAGGTAAGCTTGTGTCACAGGGGTTTGTTGTACAAATTATTAAATCACCGAGGTATTAAGGCTAGTATCCACTGGTTGTTCTTCCTGATCCTCTCTCTCCTCCCACTTTCCACCCTCTGGTAGGCGCCAGTACATGTTGTTCCCCCTATGCATTCATTTAGCCCTCACTTATGAGAACATGAGGTATTTGGTTTCCTGTTCCTGTGTTAGCTAAGGATACCGGCCTCCACTTCCATCCATGTTCCTGCAAATTTTTGCTTTTTTTTTTTTT